CAAATACAGACTGTTAGCATTAGCAGTTTGGTACTTTTTGACTTTTTAAACCGAATTTTCCCTAGGGAAAAGTCCTGTATGTTGAGCTAAAAGAAAGGCTTACAGTAGCAGCCCTTCTGTTTAGAGGTTCTGAAAAGATGTGTAACAGGGTGGGACAAAAAAGGCCTGATTTGTGGCAGCCTGGGGACTGGTTTTGCTACTGCTACCGCAGTGCGCCTGCTCACGCAGCCATGCCGGGGGCGCCAGTTTGTCCACCTGAAGCAAGCATGTGCTGAGCAGTCTTCGGCATGCTTAAATCATGAGCTGGCAGTTGAAACCAGTGGTTGAAGACAGACTCGGGGGATATCTTAGATTTCATGGCTTCCTGCTGTCTGTCATAGCCCCCATAAAAAGCCCGAAAACCTGCTTCCAAAGTAATCCTCAGCGGCTGGAGGCTCTGAGGCTACCCAGCACCAGGCACCTGGGAAGCGCTGTCAGTAGGAAAAACAACCCAAGTTATCTGCAGCCAATTGGGGTGGGGCTGGGGGGCCTGGCTTGTCCCCTTTTCCACCTGTGGCCTCCCCATCCACAGAGGCTAGAAAAAACTAACTCTGTTATCAAGTCACTTCTACCCTACAGGACAGGGTAGAGCCCCTGTGAGTTTCCGAGACTAACTCTTCCCCGAGAGAGAAAGCCTAGTCTTCCCCATGGAGTGTCCCCATGGTGGTTTCAGACTGCTCCCTGTGTGGTTAGCAGCCGGGCTCCACAGAGGCAGGTACTACTAAGTCCTGTTTCCTTCCAGATAGAGTGTGTGCATATTGAAGGTGTCCGTTTGTCCCCCCATACTTTACTACAAATGGGATTGCCTGCTGGATGAAGCTCAGCAGTTCGTTATCTTAGCCTAGGCCTTCTAGAAAGCAGGCCGGAGGCCCAAGGAGCAAGCACTGGAAAGCTCCGGAAAGGTGCAGTCCACACTTGGAACAGTAGGCAGGCAGGCAAAGAAGGACGAGAGTCTGCAGTGACCCAGGTTAGCATGAGGAACTCCATTCTGTTTTAAGCTGCCTCCAACCCCTTGCTAGCAGTTAACCCCCCCACCTCACCCCCCCCCACACACACACACTCTCTCTCCTGACAGACCTTGACTCTCTGGAGATGTCTCCAGACTCTGCCTATCCAATTAGCAAGAAATGTAAACTATCCTGTTAGACCTTGAATTATTCCCTGCAGCTGTGCTGGTCCCCTTAGCCCCCCTCTACCCTGCCAACCGGATAAGGCTAAAAAAACCTAACTCACTGATAAGACGGTAACCACTTGAATACCCCTCCCCTTAAGCCAGTCCACTACTTTGAATGATAAAAATCTTGTGTTTTTTTGTCCTAGGTGTTTTTCAGGGTGCTTACCCTCCTCTTGAACCAGCTGTTAATAAAGGCTTTAAATATTAATAAGTGGTGTGGATTGATCTCACCCAGTACGACCACTGTGTAACCAGAAAAGTCAGCTGGCTGCTCAGTATGCGTACCCCTGTGGCCACACAGCACAGAGTGGAAGGGGAGAGGAAGCAGGACACCCCCACGCTGCCCCCCATTTCGGGTTTCTTGGTCATTTTTCACAGGAGGTTGGCCATGCGCTGCATTTCCAGGTTGTATTAACTGACCCTTTGGGCTGCCACGTGGGAGTCAGGTCCCGTGCCATGATAACATGTTTTATCCCAGACCAGAAATAGCAAAAGTCAAATTCAGGGCTAGGGACTCGCAGGCTCCAGGCAGCTCTAAGCTGAGTCGGTTGGCTATTGCAGCAAACTTGTGTGCCTCCCTATGGAGGAGGGGCCATGGTGGGAACTGCAGTGGAATACGCAGCTAATGTTCAAGAGCGAATCCTGCCGAGGGAATCTGAAGTTCAAAAAGAAAAGCCTAATGTGCACTTTGCTTTACTCTGTAAGACATCCTTTTTCTCTATACATCCTTTTTCTTTTTTTTTT